TTTACAAAGAGAAAGGTTTAACTATTGATCACCAGATAGGGTAGTGGGGAGACTAAACGTTTGCTAAACAATTCTTCCTCCATGGTAGATTTGCTTTCCCTGTTCCTCTACATTAGAGAGTTCGTATCTGTTAAGTATGTCTTTTTTAGATGAGATGAATACCCTTTACATTCATGTTTCAAGTGAGAGGTTTTTGGTTAGTTCCTGGGAAGCAAAGTGGCATAATTTGTCCTATAGCTTTGGACATCAGGAAGCAATGAAATGGGGATAGTTTGAGGCTTCGTATTGAATTTGGTTTTTATGTTCTGGTACGTTTTTTTTTAATTTCTTTATGGTTTTAGATAGTGAATAATCCATTTTACCTATGGACTGTGTATATGGATGGAGTATCACTATGCCACATGAGATTTTGTTTCTATTGGATGCATATGTGCCTCTCCTGAAATCATTTTATTTTTTTCATAACAAGTGGTGCCAAAGCCCTATTCAATTTGGCATGGTTTTTCATGGTTTAGTATTTGTGAAGTCAGAAGTACAAGAATAAGATTGTAGGCTGTACTTTTAGAGGAGGTGAATGTGTTGGGACTTCCTCATTATCCAAGCATGCTTGTACTTCTTTTAGTGGTAATTGGTCTTCGAAAACTGAACAAAAAGTATGGTAGTTTTTTGTGAACTTTTTGATGAGGCCTTAATGGCTTATTGGAAGCAGATTTTTGATAACGTCTTTGAAGTCGATTTTAACGTATCGAAAGTAGATTTTAACGTATTGGAAGTAGATTAGAACCATGTGCATGTTTGATAGGGTGTATTTGTTGTGAGGTGGTATGTATGGAGAGAATGTATTGAGCTTCCTCTCCGGTTTATTGTTGCATAAAGAAAGAAAGAAAAACAGAAATATGAAGTACAATATAGATCCGTGTTTGTTTGCACAGGAAAGTTCAGATAAAAGACAGAGGAGAGGGAGCTGTAGAGGTGGAAAACCGCGTCACCCCACTATAGAAAGGAAATAATGAGAAGGGACTAATGTTTTCCACAACGCCGTACCGAAACTTCCTTGCTGGGATGCGTTCTCTTTATTCTCACCAAAGTGATTGTGTCCTGCTTACTGATGCCGAGGAAATTGAGCACATAATTGCTGAGTTAATGGCTCGAGTTATAAGTAAGAGAAATGCTAGCAACTTTTTCTCTAACCTTCTTTGAATCTTCTTTATTTTTTGCTTGACATGTGTTATTCTCCTTACACTCAAAACAATGTCATTAATATATTGTACAAGCTAATTGTTGCTTTCCAAGTTTACCCTTATTAAATGTATTCAATTTATCCAAAAAATTTGACAATTTTCTTACAATCTTATTAAATTTTTTTAAACATCAATTACTTTTTTTAAAGAAAATATTTGCTTTAAAAAAAAATAAAAGGAAATGTTCTTTTTTTTTAAATAAAAAAAATCTAAACTTGACGTTAAAAAAAGGGGACATTTCCTCTTTTTTTTTCTTTTTTTTTAATATTTTTTTTAAGTAGACATTTTCTTAAATTAAAAAAAAATTGACATTTAAAAAAAAAGATGGTAGGAAAGTTGTGAATTTTTTTGGGGATAAATTATTAACATTTAATAAGGGTAAATTTGAAAAGCAAAAGTTAACTTGTATAATATATTAATTACATTGTTTTAATGTATGGAAAATGACACATGTCAAGCAAAAAAAGGAGAAAATCCAAAAGAAAATGTTAGAGAGAAGGTTGCTAGCATTCCCCATATGCGTAGATTCTTGGAACCTCTATTTTTGTTGATTTTTCTTTTCTTTCTAATCATTCTAGTTAAACCTGGCAAACGGGTCGTGTTTGCGGGTTTCGAGTCGTGTTCGTGTCAACCCGTTAAGGAAAATGGGTTAACATGACCCAACCCGTTAAGCTAACGGGTGAGATATACTAGACCCAAACACGACCCATTCAAATTCGCGAATAACCCGACATTAGTGTTTTCACCTGTTTCACCCGCTTCAGCCTTTTAAAAAATAAACAATATTTTTTTAGAACATTGAAAAAAAAAATCAAAATCTTTAAATACATCTTACACATTGGAAAACAAAAAAAACAAAAAAAAAACTTAGACAAAATGAATCTCAAATTGAATCTTTATCTTCTGCATTTTCAGTATATGAAACACCATCCATTGAAACTACAACAAATTCCGCATCCACGATTCCCATTGGTAGTCTCAATATCTTCCATTTTCCAGTAAAACAAATAAAGAATACACAAACAAACAGACCAAGACCAGCGAAAAAGGAAGACAACACAGAAAAAAAAATGAGCCCAACAAAATTTAAATACAGGGAAGTTCATACCTTTAGTTGGAGAGAATATCTAGAGAGAAGATGAAGGTAGCCTGTTGTTTGGTTGGTGAGAATATCTAGGGAGAACAAAAGAGTTTAGAACGTGACTTGAGAGTGAGAAAGTGATTTGGGTATGTTTAAGTCAGTGAGTGAGGAGGAGGAGGAGGAGGAGGATGAGGAGGAAGAGGAAGATGGGAGAAGACGCAAAGAAAAGATAGTTAGGTTAGCTAGGGATTTTATTTTATAACGTAAATTTACAAAAATACCCCTGCTCTTAACGGGTCATTCGCGAATCATACTGAAACGACCTGTTAAGATAATGGGTGCTTAACGGGTTCACTCATTATCAACTCGACTCAATAAGGCCAACCCAAATACTGATATTTTCTTGCGAATCAGTGTCGTGTTAGCGAATCGTGTGCAATATTGCCGGGTCTAATTCTAGTTCCTCAATCCCGTGCTCAGAGAAAAATGTAGGTAATTATTCGAGTTCAACCAAAGATTGACACATTCTGCTCGTTCTTTCAATCTTCTATTTATCTAAATCGTGAACAAGATTTTTCTCAAATCAGGCTATGCTTAATATTGTTGATTAATTTCATTTTATGTGTAAAATTTGAGATGTGCCTATAAATTGCACTGTGGTTAACCCTATGTACCCAACATTATGTATGATGTGTTGATATGGAAATGGAACTTAAATGTATGACGTGTTGAGATGCGCCTATAAGTTGCACCGTGGATAGATCAAATAGTTGTTACACACTTCTTATAGTATAAATTAAATACGTTTTTTCACTCTAATTTACTCACCTTCTCGACGTTCAAAAGGTGGAAGACAGAAGACACAAAGGTATCGCCGCCACCAAACTGTTTAGGAAACAAATTAAATTGAACTTAATTTGGCGGTGCTTGAGTGCTGGCCGCTACAAGAAGTGTCACAATGGGCTTGAATATTTCAAACCTTGAATAAAGGCTTTTGTCGGTGTCGTTCTCAAAATATGTGCCACGTTGCACAAGTGGTCAATTCTTAATAAGAAAGCGTAGATAATACGCGTCTTGAACATACCAATGAAAACAGGATATGAGAAAAGGAATTAAAGTCGTATACTAGTGCTAGAATATTTTAACAAAGTCTTCTCTGACGTATACTTCCCGTACTGCCGTTGTCATGGCACCATTTTCTCCAACTCCTCTCTCTTCTTCTCTAAATATCATCTTCTTTTGCATTAGGTAATGTCAAAGGCATCTTTTCCTCGCAACACACCATGACGAAACATTGCTCAAGCCCCTTTCTACACGATTATTTTGTTTTTCATTTTCATTATAGTCTTTGTCTTTGCCTTCCTGGAACCTCTCTCTGTGTTGATTTTTCTTTTCCATATTTCAATTGGTGCCATTGAATTACCATCTTTCTAATCATTCTAGTTCCGCGATCCGGTGCTGAGAGAAGATTTCTTTGAACCACTTTCCAATGGCATTGAGCAGCCAAAGGGCCTTCACTTCAGCTACTGCAATTTGTCCATGGAAATACCAAGTGTTTTTGAGTTTCAGGGGTGAAGACACTCGCAGGGGTTTTACTGACTATTTATACAAACAGTTGGACTGGCGAGGAATTATAACTTTCAGGGATGATCCAGATCTTCAAAGAGGGACAGATATCAATCCGGAGCTTCTGACCGCGATTGAACAATCAAGGTTTGCAATCATAGTTCTTTCAAGAAACTATGCTTCATCAAGTTGGTGTTTGCGTGAACTAACCCATATTGTTCAGTCCATGAAAGAGAAGGAGAGAATTTTCCCAATTTTTTATGATGTGGATCCCTCTGATGTACGACATCAACGGGGGAGTTTTGGGACTGCCCTCGTTAACCCTGAAAGGAATTGTGATGAAGACAGAGAGGAGGTGCTTGAGTGGAGAAATGCTTTAAAAAAAGTTGCTAATCTCGCTGGGTGGAATTCAAAGGATTATAGGTAAGCATGAAGCAACAACTGACACATAGCTAATAAGACCAATTCTTGAATATCGCATTTCAGTTTTGCCACGCACTTTATCTAGGATATATTCATATAACCTCATCTGATGATTTTTTTTCTCTTCTACTTCTAGGTATGAAACAGAGCTTATCACAGAAATTGTTGATGCAGTGTGGGATAAAGTGCATCCCTCATTTTCATTGTTAGATTCCTCAGACATATTAGTCGGACATGATACTAAACTAAAGGAAATAGATCTGCATTTAGATACAAGCGCAAATGATGTGCGCTTTGTGGGGATATGGGGGATGGGCGGAATGGGTAAGACAACCCTAGCTAGATTAGTTTATGAGAGAATTTCTCATAGTTTTGAAGGTAGCAGCTTTCTTGCAAATGTCAGAGAGGTTTATGCAACACATGGTCCAGTTCCTTTACAGAAACAGCTTCTTTCCGATATTTTGAGGAAAGAAAATATACAAGTTTATAATGCTCATAGTGGATTTACTATGATAAAGAGGTGTCTATGTAATAAAAAGGTTCTTCTCATTCTTGATGATGTAGATAAATCAAACCAACTGGAAATGTTGATCAGAGAAAAAGACTGCTTTGGTTTGGGAAGTAGAATCATTATTACAACTAGAGATGAACGCTTGTTAGTCGAACATGGGATTGAGAAGATATATGAGGTCATGCCATTAACTGAGGATGAAGCTTTTTATCTCTTTAGTATGAAGGCCTTTAAAAAAGATGACATTGAAGAGGATTATCGGGAGCTGTCTAAAAATTTCATAAACTATGCAGGAGGTCTTCCATTAGCTCTTCAAACTTTGGGGTCTTTTTTGTACAAAAGAAGTCGAGATGAATGGATGAGTGCACTAGATAAACTGAAGCAAGCTCCTGACAGAGAAATTTTTCAAATTTTGAAAATAAGCTATGATGGACTAGAGGAAATGCAGAAGAAAATTTTTCTTGATGTTGCATGTTTCCCTAAGTTTGGTGACAAGGAAAAAGTGATTGAAATACTAGACAGTTGTGGTTTTGTTGGCACTCGTATTGCGATACATGTTCTTATTGAGAAATCTCTCTTGTCTATTTCAAACACGAGTCTGTCCATTCATGATTTGATACAAGAAATGGCATGGGAGATTGTTCGTCAGGAGTCTCCTGACGAGCCAGGTGGTCGCAGTCGCTTGTGGCTTCACAGTGACATTGTTCATGTACTCAAGAACAATACGGTAAGAAGTTGCTCAAAAAATAAAATACCAAAGCCTTGGATAACATACTATAATTCCATTAAACATGATAAGCAAGACTTGATTATGACATTAACTTTACTTTTATTCCTATTTGCAAGGGAACGGAAGCCATTGAAGGCATAGTCCTATGCTTGCGTGAATTTGAAGCAGCACACTTGAATCCTGAAGCATTCACTAAGATGTGTAAACTAAAGTTGCTCAAGATTAATAATTTGCGCCTTTCTTTGGGCCCAAAGTATATTCCCAATTCCTTAAGGATTCTGGAGTGGAGTTGTTATCCCTCCAAATGTCTGCCACCAAGTTTTCAACCTGTTGAGCTTGCTGTACTTCATCTGCAGCATAGCAAAATTGATCGCCTTTGGAATGGAATAAAGGTAGACCTTTTTAGAGCTATTTCTTTTCAATTTCAATAAATTGTAAGGTTCTTGGAAGTTTTTTAATTTAATCTACCATTTTCATGTTTTGTACAGTACATGGTGAAGTTGAAATCTATTGATCTTAGTTACTCCGAGAACTTGACAAAAACACCAGATTTCACAGGTACTCAGAATGACAGGACTCGCCCCGGAATTTCTCCCCAAACCGGGGCGGACCCCGTATTGTTGCCGACATCTCACCGATGCCGGGCCCCATTTACTAAAAACCCAAGACATCCTACCAAAATTTTGGCAGAGTATCCCCTGTAAAATGCTCAAACCCAACAACGTTCAACCTGCATAATTTACATAATATAATTCCCAACTGCCAGCATGCTTTCAACATACATCAATTCGAAGTAAAGTGGCCTCCGGCCTCAAGTAACAGCCTAACATGGGCGATAACAGAGCATCTAGCAGAATTTGATTACAACAACAGTAGAGTAGAAGGAATTTACACGAGTCCTATCTACAGATGAAAAGTTTGGAGCTCGCAACTTGCTTGAGCGCTTCCAAAAGCCACTACTGCCTGGGGGGCGCAAAACAGAAATATGTGAGTGGACAAAAATAAAGTTTGCATTTAAAACAACATAGTAACCCCACCATGTAAAAATAATGCTCAAGCATGCAGTCTCCACATCCATAAATCAAATACTCAAACATAAAATCTCAAAGTCCAATAACTCTCAAAAATCTCAAACCACAACTCCATTCCCACAAGTATGCAACTCTCACCAACCCATACATATGTATACCTATATAAGTATATATTTATATATATATCTATAATATAACGTATACTTCTCTCCATACTAATGTACCGGGGAAGACAATCCAACCGGGGGATTGTTGGCTGGTACGCAGGATTTTCGAACCAGAACCCGCGTCCAGGGATGAGTAGTCCAACCGGGGGACGGAACTCCATAGCTCACACGCCGGCACTGCCAACGCCACGTGTAGCTCACAAATCTCATATCTCATATCAAGTCCTACGCGCGCAGACAGTATCATCCCCACACCGGCACTGCCAACGCCATGTGTGATGATACTAAGCAATATACATACTCTTCCCATACACCGGCACTGCCAACGCCATGTATGGGAACAACAAATCTCATGACCTTCCCACCACACCGGCACTGCCAACGCCATGTGTGGGAAGCCTAGTAACCAGGGAATGGTACTCACCTAACATACTCATACATCTCACAACCATCCCTCAAATCATATCTTTCCACAATCTCATAACAACAACTCCTCATACTCCGTACATAGCACAATCTCACAACATCAACTCCTCATACTCTATACATAGGCAATATAGATAGATATCCCAAAATCCATATAAACATATCCATAATACTCAAACATAGCCATACTCAAAATATATTGCCAATACGTATATGAATATCCAAATCCATCAACCAAATACTCAATAAATCACATTTACCATTTAAAAACATATGCACAAATCTTTTATCAATAAAACCATGCAAATGCTTGAAAACAAAGTCCACTCACAGGTAATCCCACGCTGCCCGGCCCCAAGATCCCGGTGCGTGTACGCCCAATAGGATATCCTAAAGTCCGGTTACAAGTTTGGGAATCGCTTCCCATCCTACGGTTATCGTTAATCCCACAAACTTCGAATTATTGAATCGGAACATCCGGGGCTCCGATTCACGATCCACAAATTCCTACAGGTTTCTAAGAGTACCTAAATCAACATACTTCAATTCGGAAACGATCCAACGGTTAGAACTTATCGAACCCGAATAACGCACAATATGCGAAATCCGTTCGATAGTCAAACGACATCCAAATTGAGATCCGTAAAATCCTATGCAGTCGTGACAACCTAATGATCTCGTCAGGATGAAAAGCAACTTCAACAGCCTTGCCCACGCGCCGCCACACGCGCCGGCAGCGCGTGGGTGTGTAGAGAAATTTCCGGCGACGGAAAATCTCCACACCAACGCTCACCCTTCCTACCCTAGCTTCTTCTCAAGGTCAGGATCATTTTATTCAACTACCACGAGGTCCAATTCGCACGGGAACTTGCCGGAATTTCAAATTGAAAACCGGCCAAAACCTAGGTTTCCAATTCGGTTCCCAAACTCAAAATCGATCCAAACCTAAACAACAGTCAGCTAGAATACGTAAAAAGGAGAAGAAAACTCACCTAGTTCACCGGAATTGGACGGCGAAGACGACGGCACAACGCCGTGAAGAATCCGGTTTGAACCAGTCGGAACTGACGTCGGGATTCGAGGTTTCCGGCGGGGAAATGGGGTGGGTTGTGATCGGGGCTTCGAGACGAGTCGAACGGGACCGGTGCCGGCCCTTCCCGTTGCCGGAACTGAGAGAATCGAAGAGAGAGAAAGAGAGAGTCGGGGAGAGAGAAACGGAGGAGAGAGAGTGTACGCGGGAGAGAGAGAGAAAGTGTGGGGGTAAAAGTGAAAAATCTGGTTTTTACTCCAAACTTATCAAAATATTTACGGTTCCGCCACCGAACATATTTTGATCGCCAAAACTTCATTACAACTCCGATTCAAGGCTACCGCCTGTCTACGATTTCGTCTCAGTACCACCTACGCAACCAAACCACTCGTGGTCCCGAAATCCTTCCGGATAAGAAAATGACCAAAATTACCCTTAACCCAAGAGTAAATTAATAATTCTCTTAATTTAATTAAAATAGGAATAAATTTGGAGTCGGGGTGTTACACAGAATCTTGAGAGGCTGGTTTTTGAAGGTTGTACTAATCTTGTTAAGATTCATCCATCCATTGCCTCTCTCAAAAGTCTACGAGTTTTGAATTTTAAAAACTGTAAAAGCATTAAGAGTCTTCCAAGTGAAGTAGAACTGGAATCTCTTGAAACATTTGATCTTTCTGGGTGCTCAAAAGTGAAAAAGATTCCAGAATTTGTGGGAGAAATGAAAATGTTTTCGAAGCTTTCTTTAAGGTTCACTGCTGTTGAGCAAATGCCTTCATCAATGATACCTTTGATCCCGAGTTTGAAGGAGCTTGATATGAGTGGACTTTCTATGAGAGATGCGTCATCCGCCCTGGTTCCAGTGAAAAATATCGAACTGCCTAGATCATGGCATTCTTTCTTCAGCTTTGGCTTATTTCCAAGAAAGAATCCTGACCCTGTGAGTCTGGTGTTAGCTTCCTTAAAAGATTTACGCTTTTTGAAGTCTCTAAATCTGGAGTACTGCAATCTTTGTGAAGGAGCAATACCTGAAGATATTGGTTTATTGTCCTCTTTAGAAAGTTTAATTCTTGATGGAAACCATTTTGTTAGCCTTCCTGCAAGCATCAGTGGGCTTTCTAAGCTTGGGTGGTTCACATTGGAGAATTGCAAAAGGCTTCAAAAATTGCCAAGCCTTCCATCAAACGGACCACTAGATGTTTATGTAAACACTGATAATTGTACTTCCTTGAAAATATTCCCAGATCCACTACCGATGTGCAATGGTGGAAGTTACACTTGGATTAGTTCTTTAAATTGCTTCAGTTTGATTGACCATCAAGGTTCCAATTCCATAATATTTTTAACGCTGAAGAAATTCCTTCAGGTACTTCTCCCTCTCTCCCTCCTTCCCTCTTTAGTTGTGTAGTACTATTTATATCCTTCCTTTGGTGCAGGAAATTCCTCGTTCTTTGGGCTTCTTCAGTATTGTAATTCCTGGAAGTGAAATTCCTGAGTGGTTCAATAATCAAAGTGTGGGAGACTCAGTAATTGAGACACTACCTTCGGATTCTAATAGCAAGTGGGTGGGGGTTGCTTTGTGTGCTCTATTTGTACATGTTGAAGAAATTTCAGCTACGGAACGTAATCAAATCCTTTTTCGTCGCCTTTTTGATTTAAACACCCCTGCGACCGTGGCTCAAGTTATTGATGTCATTGATGTAGCGTCCGATCACCTTTGGTCGATCCTCCTGCCTAGGGAAGGTTTGTTTGAGGGAGCACCTGGGACCTATTGGAGGGAGAAATGCCATGATCGTAAGATTCGGTTTCGTTTCGAAGTCGGAACATCTTATCGAGAAGGGAATAGGTGGGTGAAGATGAATTTGAAGGTGAAGAAGTGTGGAGTCCGCATACTGTACGAACAAGACGCGGAAGAGCTCAACCGAACAATGAAACAATATTCCAACAGAAAGAATTCTTTTTATGAGGACGTTACAGATTGTGATTTTGACAAAACAGACAAGGTACAAGGTGCCATCACTAAGCGAACACGTGAACAGTACTGTAATGAGGCAGGACCAAGCGGTATTGATAGCTTTGGCAAAGAATCCAGTGCCTCAAAGGAAGAATTGAAAGGTTGGTATTGCTAACTCTTCCCATATTATCATATAACATTCTGTTTGAAATCGAAAAAGTACTCACTACGTCCCCAAACAAATTTTTTGTTTTTTGTTTTTGTATGCGAACATTTTAGCATATGATTCACTCTCTTTGTTACCCCTGCATATTTCTAATTCATTCATATTATTAGTTCACTTTCCCATTATCATATACATTTTAGATAGACGATCCAATAGATGGTTAACTAGTATAATTCAAGAACTTGTCATATATTTAAATTCATGGTTTCGCTTCAGTTTTTTATCCTATTAGGTTGGACGAGAATACTTATCCTGTTACGTTATATTTAAATTCAATTGAAATGCATATATGCAGGATGTGTTGTACTAGTGTAGTCTTGTAAATCTTCTTTTGTTGTACCAATCAATCACTCTGGAAGTAGAACAAATTTTGACAATCTTTATAATCAGATCCAAATTTTATTGGGGGAGGAGAGTTTCGTCATCCGGAAGCCTAACCGCGCGTTTTACCGACTGAAGCATTTGAACATGGTTGGGAGACATCTATTTATACTTAAATGGTTTCTTTCTTAAGCTAAATTCCGAATGCTGTAATAAATTCAGTAGGTTAATTAGTGAGGCCCTATTTGAGACATTGACATTAATTGAGGCATGGAGAAGTCAATCAACTCCAAAATGACTTGTGCTGTAATTCCACTACTTCATTTTTCCTTATGCAAAAAGCTTTTATTTCTTAAATCCATCTCCAGTGAAAGCTTCACTACCCACTTGTTCAAAATTGGTTTTAAAGAGATAGCAATAGAGACAAAATTCCGCATATTTAGATATACTATACTCCAACCAATCAAACTCATCAAACCATTAGGGATGAAGCGTTGATTAATTCCCGACATATTAGTTATTGGGAAATTATGACCTCTAGGTTGACAAGGTCCTTTTTGTAGATATGATCTTCGGACCTCATCTCTCATATTAGCATCATAATCTATCATTCGAATTCTTAATCTAGGATCCGCTTGAAGATTACCCAAAACACCATCTAACTGACTTTGTCTTGAACTTGGAGTTCTTGAACTACCAACAGTATTTGAACTATCAACATTATTCGAACTACCCGAACCCGATGATGACTTTCTCTTAAAAAACCGTTCGATAATAATTCTACATATACAAAATATTCAAAATAAATACTCACAATTTAAACAAACCATCAACATAATCAAAATAAACATGAATTGGATTTCAATTAAATTAAATATATTCTACATATACAAAAACTTGCAAAATAAAACTCACAATATAAGCAAACCATCAATATAATCAAAATAAATATGAATTGAATTTCAATTAAATTAAATATATTCTACATATACAAAATAATGAAAATAAAAACTCACAATATAATCAAACCACCAACATAATCAAAATAAACATGAATTATGTTTCAATTAAATTAAATATATCATATATAGGGTTTAGAACTTACTTGAATTGTGAAATTTCACAATAACAATGAGCAAATACAAACAGAGTAGCTGGCGGCACCACCACCACAGCGACGACGACGGCAGCACAAAGGCACCTCAATGGCGGCAGCAAGGGAGGAGATGGAGTTGAGGGTTTTGGGGGGATTGAGTTTGGAACTTAGGGTTGGAGGAGGAGAAAACAAAAGAAAATTGGGGGTTTTGGAATGAAAGAATCGAATCTGTGGAGAAGGAGAGGCTGGAGGATACGCTGGGCATTATTTTTTTTTCTTCAGACCTGGCCCAAAACGACGTCATTTTGGCCAGGTCATTTAAAAAAAAAAAATCCCTGGGCCAAAACGATGTCGTTTTGCCCAGGTTGTTTTAAAAAAAAAGACGCATGCCAACAACCTCCTTCTTCTTCAACCTGCGACGAACTGTTCCTTCTTCTTTTAGGCATTTCGTCGACCACGTGGTGTGCAACTCCAAGAGGTCGCGCCAGCAGCTCCAAGGGACCTCTAAGCTTATTTCCAATGCTTCCAAGAGGTTGTGCGACCCTATTGACTCCACTGTGGCTCCGCCTCTGACACTAACACCTACCAGTTTCCAAATTTGTAGCAACATAATAAACACCCATTGATTTGATGCTATTAAAGCTCGAGTGTTTTGGCTTAATTCTCTCATACCTATTTAATAAATTGTCACAATTGTTCTAACTTTGTTATCAATTGATTAAATAGACTGAAGTTATACTTTTGTCCATCAGATTAATAGAATGGTTGATGTACCTAAACTGTTGTTTGTCCTGTTGGATTTTTTAACTTAATTTTGTGATGATAGTTGGTATTCGCTCAAATTTTTCCATTTATCTACATTAACACCTGCCATTTTCCAAATTTGTACCAACAGAGTTAAAACCCCTGCAAAGGACAAGAAAGAACAGAAGCCACCTCAATAGCAAAGCCATCAAGAGAAAGATCCCCTTCCAACAGACATCAAGGCAGAAAATCCCCTTCCACCACTCAGTAGCATATATATATATATAAAGACATGTTCAAACTCTTTTGAACAATGAACATCCTAAAACTGCTGATATTTTGATGCTATTTTGATGTTTTGATTACTGCTTGGTTTATTAAAATATGGTCAATATTTTAACATGACAAACAGCATATAAAACATGTTATTAGTCTATTTTTTGTAACATGAACTTACCAAATAAAGCATGATGCCACTATTTAGATCTTCATGTCTATAAATAGTACCATCTTTCATATATTTTTTCATGATTTTGCATGCATTTCACATGGTTTTAAAACACGCAGCATCGCGCGGGCACCTTTGCTAGTATACTGCCAAAGTGAAATGACCCAGACCAACAAAGTGAAATGAAATTTCGAGCAAAAGTGGTCTAGTCCAAGCAAGTTCCCAACTTTCGTTTTATTTTTCTAGCGAGGAAGATATTTACATGACATCTTTAAGCCGTCCACTTTTGTAAGGAATCAAATCAATACGAACAAACACTGATGAAACATTGCAGAAGTGGAAATCCACGTCACCCCACTATAGAAAGGAAATAATGAGAAAGGACAAATGTTTACCACAACACCCTACTTGGTGGGATGCGTTCTCTTTCTTCTCACAAAAGTGATTGTGTCTTGCTTACTGATGCCGAGGGAATTGAACACATAATTGCTGAGTTAATGGATTGACTTGAGTTATAAGTAATTGCATTAATACTTACCTGCGTAGCTTCCTGGAACCTCTATCCGTGCTGATTTTTCTTTTCTTTCTAATCATTCTAGTTCCACAATCCCGTGCTTAGAGAAGATATCTTGAAACCACTTTCCAATGGCATCGAGCAGCCAAAGGGCCTTCGCTTCAGCTACTGCAGTTTGTCCATGGAAATACGAAGTGTTTTTGAGTTTCAGGGGTGAAGACACTCGCAGGGGTTTTACAGACTATTTATACAAACAGTTGGACTGGCGAGGAATTAGAACTTTCAGGGATGATCCAGATCTTCAAAGAGGGGCAGATATCAATCCGGAGCTTCTGACCGCGATTGAACAATCAAGGTTTGCAATCATAGTTCTTTCAACAAACTATGCTTCATCAAGTTGGTGTTTGCGTGAACTAACCCATATTGTTCAGTCCATGAAAGAGAAGGAGAGAATTTTCCCAATTTTTTATGATGTGGATCCCTCTGATGTACGACATCAACGGGGGAGTTTTGGGGCAGCCCTCGTTAACCATGAAAAGAATTGTGGGGAAGACAGAGAGGAGGTGCTTGAGTGGAGAAATGCTTTAGAAAAAGTTGCTAATCTCGCTGGCTGGAATCTAAAGGGTTATAGGTAAGCATGAAGCAACAACTGACACATAGCTAATAAGACCAATTCTTGAATATCGCATTTCAGTTTTGCCATGCACTTTATCTACGATATATTCATATAACCCCATCTGATGATTTTTTTTTCTTCTACTTCTAGGTATGATACAGAGCTTATCACAGAAATTGTTGATGCAGTGTGGGATAAAGTGCATCCCACATTTTCACGTTTAGATTCCTCAGACATATTAGTCGGACTTGATACTAAACTAAAGGAACTAGATCTGCATTTAGATACAAGCGCAAATGATGTGCGCTTTGTGGGGATATGGGGGATGGGCGGAATGGGTAAGACAACCCTTGCTAGATTAGTTTATGAGAGAATTTCTCATAGTTTTGAAGGTAGCAGCTTTCTTGCAAATGTCAGAGAGGTTTATGAAAAACATGGTCTAGTTCCTTTACAGAAACAGCTTCTTTCCAATATCTTGAGGAAAGAAAATATACAATTTTATGATGCTTATGATGGATTTACTATGATAAAGAGGTGTCTATGTAATAAAAAGGTTCTTCTCATTCTTGATGATGTAGATCAATCAGACCAACTGGAAATGTTGATCAGAGAAAAAAACTGCTTTGGTTCGGGAAGTAGAATCATCATTACAACTAGAGATGAACGCTTGTTAGTCGAACATGGGATAGAGAAGGTATATGAGGTCATGCCATTAACCGAGGATGAAGCTCTTTATCTCTTTAGTAGGAAGGCCTTTAAAAAAGATAACCTTGAAGAAGATTATCTAGAACTGTCTAAAAAATTCATAAACTATGCAGGAGGTCTTCCATTAGCTCTTCAAACTTTGGGGTCTTTTGGGTACAAAAGAAGTCGAGATGAATGGAAGAGTGCACTAGATAAACTGAAGCAAGCTCCTGACAGAAAAGTTTTTGAAATTTTGAAAATAAGCTATGATGGACTAGAGGAAATGCAGAAGAAAATTTTTCTTGATGTTGCATGTTTCCATAAGATTGGTGACAAGGAAGAAGTGATTGAAATACTAGACAGTTGTGGTTTTGTTGGCACTCGTATTGTGATACATGTTCTAATTGAGAAATCTCTCTTGTCTCTCTCATACAAGTGTGTGTATGTGCATGATTTGATACAAGAAATGGGAAGGGAGATTGTTCGTCAAGAGTCTTTTGACGAGCCAGGTGGTCGCAGTCGCTTGTGGCTTCACAGTGACATCCATCATGTACTCACAAACAATACGGTAAGAAGTTGCGCAAAAAAATAAAATACCAAAGCCTTGGATAACATACTATATATAATTCCATTAAACATGATAAGAGAGACTTGATTATGACATTAACTTTTCTTTTATTCCTATTTACAAGGGAACGGAAGCCATTGAAGGCATAGTCCTACGCTTGCTTGAATTTGAAGCGGCACACTGGAATCCTGAAGCATTCACTAAGATGTGTAAACTAAGGTTGCTCAAGATTAATAATTTGCGCCTTTTTTTGGGCCCAAAGTATCTTCCCAATTCCTTAAGGATTCTGGAGTGGAGTTGGTATCCCTCCAAATGTCTGCCACCAAGTTTTCAACCTGTTGATCTTGTTGAACTTCTTCTGCGGCATAGCAAAATTGATCACCTCTGGGATGGAATAATGGTAAGCCTTTGCAGAGCTATTTCTTTTCAATTTCAATAAATTGTACGGTTCTTGGAAGTTAGTTAATTTAATCTACCATTTTCATGTTTTGTACAGTACATGGTCAAGTTGAAATCTATTGATCTTAGTTACTCCGAGAACTTGACAAAAACACCAGATTTCACAGGTACTCGCAATCTTGAGAGGCTGGTTTTTGAAGGTTGTACTAATCTTGTTAAGATTCATCCATCCATTGCCTCTCTCAAAAGTCTAAGAGTTTGGAATTTTAAAAACTGTAAAAGCATTAAGAGTCTCCCAAGTGAAGTAGAACTGGAATCTCTTGAAACATTTGATCTTTCTGGGTGCTCAAAAGTGAAAAAGATTCCAGAATTTGTGGGAGAAATGAAAAATTTTTCGAAGCTTTCTTTAAGGTTCACTGCTGTTGAGCAAATGCCTTCATCAATGATACCTTTGATCCCGAGTTTGAAGGAGCTTGATATGAGTGGAATTTCTATGAGAGATGCGTCATCCGCCCTGGTTCCAGTGAAAAATATCGAACTGCCTAGATCATGGCATTCTTTCTTCAGCTTTGGCTTATTTCCAAGAAAGAATCCTGACCCTGTGAGTCTGGTGTTAGCTTCCTTAAAAGATTTACGCTTTTTGAAGTCTCTAAATCTGAAGTACTGCAATCTTTGTGAAGGAGCAATACCTGAAGATATTGGTTTATTGTCCTCTTTAGAAAGTTTAATTCTTGATGGAAACCATTTTGTTAGCCTTCCTGCAAGCATCAGTGGGCTTTCTAAGCTTAAGTGGTTCACATTGAAGAATTGCAAAAGGCTTCAAAAATTGCCAAGCCTTCCATCAAACGGGCTTTCTTATGTAAACACTGATAATTGTACTTCCTTAAAAATATTCCATTTTGATCCAACACCGATGTGCAATGGTGTAAGTTTTATATCGATTCATTCTTCCAACTGCATGAGTTTGGTTGATCATCAAGGTTCCAGTTCCATAATATATTTAATGCTGAAGAAATTCCTTCAGGTACTTCCCTCTGTCCCTCCTTCCCTCCTTAGTTGTGTACGTAGTACTATTTATATCCTTCCTTTGGTGCAGGAAATTCCTCATTCATTGAGAGACTTCAGAATTGTAATCCCTGGAAGTGAAATTCCTGAGTGGTTCAGTAATCAAAGTGTGGGAGACTCAGTAATTGAGACGCTACCTTCGGATTCTAATAGCAAGTGGGTGGGGTTTGTGTTTTGTGCTCTATTTGTACCTGTTGATGAAATTTCAGCTACGGAACGTAATAGAATACATTTGCATCGCTTTTTTGATTTAAAAACCCCTGCGACCGTGGTTCCTGGTATTGATGTCATTGATGTAGCGTCCGATCACCTTTGGTCGATCCTCCTGCCTAGGGAACGTTTGTTTGAGGGAGCACCTGGGACCTATTGGAGGGAGAAATGCCATGATTGTAAGATTCGGTTTCATTTCGAAGTCGAAACAACTTATCGAGAAGAGAATAGGTGGGTGAAGACGAAGGCGTGTTTGAAGGTGAAGAAGTGTGGAGTCCGTATACTGTACGAACATGACGTGGAAGAGCTCAACCGAACAATGAAACAATATTCCAACAGAAAGAATTCTTTTTATGAGGACGTTACAGATTGTGATATTGACAAAACAGACAAGGTACAAGGTGCCATCACTAAGCGAACACGTGAACAGTACTGTAATGAGGCAGGACCAAGCGGTATTGGTAGCTTTGGCAAAGAATCACTCTGCAAAAGAATGAAAGAAGACTAACTGTCCAGTGCCTCAAAGGAAGAGTTGAAAGGTTGGTATTGCTAAACTATTCCCATATTATCACATAATTCATGGTTTCGCTTCAGTTTTTATCCTATTAGTTTGGACGAGAATACTTATCCTGTTACGTTATATTTAAATTCAATTGAAATGCATATATGCAGGATGTGTTGTACTAGTGTAGTCTTGTAAATCTTCTTTTGTTGTACCAATCAATCACTCTGGAAGTAGAACAAATTTTGACAGTCTTTATAATCAGATCCCAATTTTATTGGGGGAGGAGAGTTTCGTCATCCGGAAGCCTAACCGCGCGTTTTACCAACTGAAGCATTTGAACATGGTTGGGAGACATCTATTTATACTTAAATGGTTTCTTTCTTAAGCTAAATTCCGAATGCTGTAATAAATTCAGTAGGTTAATTAGTGAGGCCCTATTTGAGACATTGACATTAATTGAGGCATGGACAAGTCAATCAACTCCAAAATGACTTGTGCTGTAATTCCACTACTTCATTTTTCCTTATGCAAAAAGCTTTTGTTTGTGTTTTTTTTTCAGGCATCTGTTATAATGATGTTCATATATATAATTTGCATATTTTGTGTATTTTTCTTTTCTTTCTTATCAAGACTTATTCTCAACCAGTGAATTTAAATTGGCCAAAATTGTGGTCCTACTTGGTATATGTTTCTACCCAAAAAATAAAAATCTTGGATTTAGATTCTTGGTGGGTTTAAATAGTGCGGAGGTAGGGATAAAAATGAAGTGAATCAGGGCTGGGTATGTGGTTCTCATTCTTTTCCCCACCTCCATGCTAGTAATATTCGAACTGGCGATTCCCCATCCTTGCCCACGTCCCATTACAAAAATACTAATAGAAAATAATATTAAATGTGGAAAAAAGTCATAAACTATTGGTGGGAGTCATGGTACAAAGCTAGAAGTCACTTAACAATATATTCATATGAAAAATAAATAAATAAATAAAGCCGAAAACATCCCGAAAATTTCCCAATTGGATTCAACATATATACAGGGAGAAGAACTATCGTGCAAGATGGAGCTACAATCTGGATTTGGGCATTTGCTTTTCTGAAAATACCCCACTGGAGTCTCTCATGCCCGTCAGATTCCCCTTGATAAAGCTTAGTTGTTCTTTGGGGTTTAACTCCCCATTATATATAAAAAAAAAAAAAAAAAAAAAAAAAAAAAAAAAAAAAAAAAAAATTCCCAATTTACCATTACTAAACCGCAAAGACCTTAACCAGTTGACCATCCCAATTGTAGGAGAGATGCCACTGTTGGCAAATCACGTAAGTGTCCCAAGCCAATCAAATGTCGACAGCTGGTAACTAATTTTACTTCCAATTTTAAATATTAAAAAAATGTCCTGCACCTTCTCTCGCTTCCGCATCCCTCTCTCTCATCCATTAATCTCTCTTTCTTCACTTCAGTAACTCCTCCTCCATCATCATCCACGCACCCCTGCATTCCTCTTTTTCTCTTCAATCAGTAATCCTTCATAACCCACCCTTGGTATTGATCTCTCAGTTTTAATTTTAGTTAAGTATATTTATTGGAGAAATCTGGAAAATTTGAAAATGGATGAGTTGAGAAATATTGGGTTGGCTTCGGCTTTGTGGAGGAACAATATACGTTTTGGGGAAGAAAAACTTTCTCCGGCGTCACTCTCTCCTCCGGATCTGAGGAATCTCTTTCCTCCTTTTTTCTTCAAATTTTATTATATCTATTGGGTAGTTTTGGAAAATTTGGAATGGTGAAGCTGAGAGAGCTTGGGTTCTGTCTGTCAGGGAACAGTGAAGGTGCGGTTTTGGGGTCAAATCGCACCATGTATTGATTTCTTCTCCAAATCTAAGGAATCTCTCCTGCCATTCCATTATCACAAAGTATCATCCTTCTTCACATTCAGTAAATAATATTAAACAAAAAAAAAAAAAAAAAAAAAAAAAAAAAAAAAAAAAAAAAAAAAACAGAGAAAAAAAAATAAAATCTATGTGGATCTGTTGAAGAAAGAGATTGCCGCTTTGGACGCAGAGAACACGGCAAGTTCAAGGATGCTGGATCTCCGAAAGAAGCAGTTTGCTCTGCTCTTGCATGTGGTATGCGGCTCTGTTCCATTCCCCAATTTTTGATTATGTTTCCTGCCTTAAGCAGTAGAACCCTTTTGAAATTAGATTTAATTTTGGTTGTATTTGATGTTTTTGCAGGTGGATGAGTTGCAGAACACCATAGAGGAAGAGCAGAAGAGTTTGATTGAGGAGAAAGAGCACAAACACGGAATGGAGGATGCAAGCGGGGGGCTCGGAACCCATGCATGTTGATTAGAGTATGCATCTCTTGGTTTTGCAATTGTAAGATTGTGTTTTCATGAATGGGTTTCTATCTATGCATTATCTCTCTTGATTTACAGAAACAGGAATATAGAGTGGTGCTCTACAGTTGCAATATGTCAGCGATATTTTGAATTTCTTAATTTTGTGCAACTTGTAGATTTTCTTGCATACTGCTTCACCAAGTTCACTTGATGGGTAGAACTTTGCCAGAACTTCTTTCTGCATCAATTTCAGTGTAGTTAATTGTATAAACCTAATGCCTGTGTACATTACATTTGAGTGTAATATTACAGTTTGCATCCAGATAAATATTGAGAAGTCGGAAATGCATACTTTTTGGGGTAGTGTCAAATAAACTCTTGTGATTTTCCTTTTCTGCGTACAATGACTACTTTGGCTTTACTGAAGTGGAGAAAATGCTTTCGAAAGTACCTTAGGATGCAACATTGATGCATCACAATGTTTTGAAAATTTGATGCTAGTTTTTTAACGTAAAACAAATATATATTTGTTGTCGCATATGCTATCAAAATGCTAAGGGTTTTTTGTTTTTGTTTTTGTTTTGTCAATCACCCCAGTTGTATTTGTGTTTGCTTTACAAAGAGAAAGGTTTAACTATTGATCTCCAGAGAGGGTGGGGAGACTAAACGTTTGCTAACAATTCTTCCTCCATGGTAGATTTGCTTTCCCTGTGTTCCTCTACATTGAGAGAGTTTGTATCTGTTAAATATATATTTTTAGATGAGATGAATACCTGTACATTCATGTTTCAAGTGAGAGGTTTTTGGCTAGTTCCTGGGAAGCAAAGGGGCATAATTTGTCCTATAGCTTGGGACATCAGGAAGCAATGAAATGGGGATAGTTTGAGGCTTATTATTGAATGTGGTGTTTATGTTCCGGTACGTTTTTTTTATTATTTCTTTATGGTTTTAGGTAGTGATTAATCCATTTTGCCTATGGAATGTGTATGTAGATGGAGTTTCACTACACCACATTAGATTTTGTTTCCTTAGTACTTGTGATTGATCTTGATATTGGATGCATATGTGCCTCTCCTTAATCTTTTTATTTCTTATAACAAGTGGTGCCAAAGCTCTATTCAATTGGGCATGGTTTTTCAGGGTTTAGTATTTGTAAGGTGAGAAGTACAAGAATAAGTTGTAGGCTGTACTTTTAGAAGAGGTGAATGTGTTGGGACTTCCTCATTATCCAAGCATACTTATACTTCTTTTAGTGGTAATTGGTCTTCGAAAAATGAACAAAAAGTATGGTAGTTTTTTGTGAACCTCTTGATGAGGTCTTAATGGCTTATTGGTAGCAGATTTTTGATAACTTATTTGAAGTCGATTTTATTGTATCAGAAGTAGATTTTAACGTATTGGAAGTAAGTTAGAACCATGTGCATGTTTGATAAGGTGTTGTGAGGTGGTTTGTATGGAGAGAATGTATAAAATATTCCTTATGTTACAGAGGAAAAAAAACAGAAGTATAAAATATAAACATTCCATAGAACGTGTCTTGTGCATTGTCTAGAAATTGGAAATATGCATATCTCCATGTCGTCTTTAACATTGAATCCAAGTGCAAGGGAAATGTAAAACCATGGGATTTCATGCCCGTTGTCCACATCTTGATTATTCTTATTACCTGCATCAATCCCATTAGTTCCCAGGCACCGTTTGGGAGGGGAGCACAACAAAGTTTCTGGTTCCCCCAAAATGCAGAGGCATTGAAGCCTTGGAACTGAGTAGTTGTTGGTATTGGTCCTTCAAGATTATCGTAGGGGACATTGAAAAATGACAAGAAAATAAGACTCCTCAATGATGTTGGGATTTTTCCAGACAAATGACACATCGTACACTGCAATTAAAGTAAGGGGAATCTTTCTCAGCCAACCAAATTTTCTAATGAACATCATAGCACAATCCATAAAATGTAAACTTTCAAAAGGAAAAAGGAAATTTACATTACGTGTGATGCCAAAACAATTTCCACAGAAAGGAGACTGAAAATTCAGGCAAGAAACTGAAGAAGAAACGAGGAAATCCCCAAGAAAGAGCTCAACACGTCCAATGCTCAGGATAAAGGACAAGGTGGAAAAAAACAAAAGGAAAGGAAAAATGTGAAAGTGTTTTACAAAGTGAAAGGACGAATGTTTTCAACAAAAAAAAGTGAAAGGAAATTTCAAGGTAATCATTTTTCTTTACCTTTTTCTTTTCTTACCAAAGTGAACTGGCTCTGGTCTGGTCCATGTTTGCTTACTAAAGTTAATTAATTCACAGGAAAGTTCAGATGAAAGAGAGAGGAGAGGGAGCTATAGAAAGGAAATAATGAGAAATTACTAATGTTTTCCACAATACCCCACTGAAACTTCCTTGCAGGGATGCGTTCTCTTTCTTCTCACCAAAGTGATTGTGTCCTGCTTACTGATGCCGAGAGAATTGAACACGTAATTGCTGAGTTAATGGCTTGAGTTTTAAGTAATTGCACTCTTAGTTCAGTTTTGATATTAGAATATTTAACAAACTCAATTGTGTAGTTGCGTTAATACTTATCTGCGTAGCTTCCTGGAACCTCCATCTGTGCTGATTTTTCTTTTCTTTTCTTTCTAATCATTCTAGTTCCACAATCCCGTGCTCAGAGAAGATTTCTTGAAACTACTTTCCAATGGCATCGAGCAGCCAAAGGGCCTTCACTTCAGCTACTGCAGTTTGGTCGTGGAAATACGAAGTGTTTTTGAGTTTCAGGGGTGAAGACACTCGCAGGGGTTTTACAGACTATTTATACAAACAGTTGGACTGGCAAGGAATTAGAACTTTCAGGGATGATCCAGATCTTGAAAGAGGGACAGATATCAATCCGGAGCTTCTGACCGCGATTGAACAATCAAGGTTTGCAATCATAGTTCTTTCAACAAACTATGCTTCATCAAGTTGGTGTTTGCGTGAACTAACCCATATTGTTCAGTCCGAGAAGGAGAGAATTTTCCCAATTTTTTATGATGTGGATCCCTCTGATGTACGACATCAACGGGGGAGTTTTGGGGCAGCCCTCGTTAACCATGAAAGGAATTGTGGGGAAGACAGAGAGGAGGTGCTTGAGTGGAGAAATGCTTTAAAAAAGTTGCTAATCTCGCTGGGTGGAATTCAAAGGATTATAGGTAAGCATGAAGCAACTGACACATTGCTAATAAGACCTGTGTTTTCAAAGGCACGCTTAATCGCGCCCCGGTGTGCGCGTCGGAGTAGGGCGAATGGAAGTCGCCTCTGTCGGATGGGATGAATGAATTGAGTTTTTCTTTTGATGTTGAATAAATATTTTTCAATACGAATTAGTACTACAATTTAGTTGTATTGTATTATTTATAAATTTTTGTTATTAAAATAAATTAATGTTCAAAAGGCTTATGCCTCAATGCTTCAAGGCTTACGCCTTGCATAGTGCTACTAAAAACCCCTCGCCTTTGAAAACATTGAATAAAACCAATTCTTGAATATTGCATTTCAGTTTTGCCATGCACTTTATCTACGATATATTCATATAACCTCATCTGATGATTTTTTTTTCTTTTCTTCCACTTCTAGGTATGATACAGAGCTTATCACAGAAATTGTTGATGCAGTGTGGGATAAAGTGCATCCCACATTTTCATTGTATGATTCCTCAGAGATATTAGTCGGACTTGATACTAAACTAAAGGAAATAGATCTGCATTTAGATACAAGCGCAAATGATGTGCGCTTTGTTGGGATATGGGGGATGGGAGGAATGGGTAAGACAACGCTTGCTAGATTAGTTTATGAGAGAATTTCTCATAATTTTGAAGGTAGCAGCTTTCTTGCAAATGTCAGAGAGGTTTATGCAACACATGGTCTAGTTCCTTTACAGAAACAGCTTCTTTCCAATATCTTGGGGAAAAGAAATATACAAGTTTATGATGCTTATAGTGGATTTACTATGATAAAGAGGTGTCTATGTAATAAAAAGGTTCTTCTCATTCTTGATGATGTAGATCAATCAGACCAACTGGAAATGTTGATCAGAGAAAAAGACTGCTTTGGTTTGGGAAGTAGAATCATCATTACAACTAGAGATGAACGTTTGTTAGTTGAACATGGGATAGAGGAAGTATATAAGGTCATGCCATTAACCCAAGACGAAGCTTTTTATCTCTTTAGTAGGAAGGCCTTTAGAAAAGATGACCTTGAAGAAGGTTATCTACAACTGTGTAAAAATTTCATAAACTATGCAGGAGGTCTTCCATTAGCTCTTAAAACTTTGGGGTCTTTTTTGTATAAAAGAAGTCTAGATGAATGGAAGAGTGCACTAGATAAACTGAAGCAAGCTCCTGACAGAAAATTTTTTCAAATTTTGAAAATAAGCTATGATGGACTAGAGGAGATGCAGAAGAAAATTTTTCTTGATGTTGCATGTTTCCATAAGTGTGATGACAAGGAAGAAGTGATTGAAATACTAGACAGTTGTGGTTTTGTTGGCACTCGTATTGGGATACATGTTCTTATTGAGAAATCTCTCGTCTCTTTCAAAGAATGATCTGTCCATTCATGATTTGATACAAGAAATGGCATGGGAGATTGTTCGTCAAGAGTCTTTTGACGAGCCAGGTGGTCGCAGTCGCTTGTGGCTTTACAGGGACATCCTTCATGTACTCACAAACAATACGGTAAGAAGTTTCGAAAAAAATAAAATACCAGAGCCTTGGATAACATACTATGATTCCATTAAACATGATAAGAGAGACTTGATTATGACATTAACTTTTCTTTATTCCTATTTATAAGGGAACGGAAGCCATTGAAGGCATAGTCCTACGCTTACATGAATTTGAAGCGGCACACTGGAATCCTGAAGCATTCACTAAGATGTGCAAACTAAAGTTGCTCAAGATTAATAATTTGCGCCTTTCTTTGGGCCCAAAGTATCTTCCCAATTCCTTAAGGTTTCTGGAGTGGAGTTGGTATCCCTCC